CACGCGAGTCCCTCAGCCGCCCGGGCCGGGAGGGCGCTGCAGTCCGGTCGCGGCGCTGCGCGGTGGGGTGAGCCTCCCGGGTGGGCGACTGCAAAACACCAAGACGAGCTGTCTTCCTAAGTGAAGGAGCCCCCAACGACCTCCGTGCTGACCTGAGACACCCGCCCGCGTCGGAGGGTCTGGCATTCAGCGTCTCTCAGCCCCAGCCCTGCGTCCAGCTGCCCCCACTCACGCGGAATCCCCCCCACGTGCGCCCGGAAGGCCCACCAGGCAGCCGTGCGGGTCTCCGAGGAGCAGGAGGTCGGGCCCGGAGCGCTCCCTCCTGGGCCGCTCCTGGGGCAGCTGCGCGTCCTGCACCCGTCTGCTCCGTCTGCAGGGAGTGCCGGGCGGAGCCCCGCCTGCACCGCCCCCGGGCATCGGAGCTGGAGCTCACGCGGTCAGACGGCCCGCCGTGCCCCTCAGCGTCCAGCGTGCCCGGGGTTTCCTGGCTCGGGGTGGCCAGCCCCAGCTCGGCCTGCCGCCTGCCGCCCTCGGTCGGGCTGTGGCTGGAGTGATTTGCCGCCGACCGTGGCTGGACCGAAGCTATCTCATGGGCTCCAGCCTGCTGTAGGTGCACTAGGAACAAACCTTTATTTTTTATTAAGATTTATTTTCTTCCAGCAAGATGGAGGCATAGGTGGACGCACCGCACCTCCACACACAACCAGGATTAGAACAACAACAATTTAGAGGCAGAATAACACCCAGAACTCATAGAGAATTTATCTGAATGGAAGTCGGACAGCCAATAAGTTGAAGTAGACCCGTTCGACCAGACAGGCAGGAGGGGCAGAGACGAACGCCGGTCGAAGCGCGCAGAGTGCAGGGAGAGCTGGGCGCCTAAGGCGACCGGGAGCGTGTTAGCCATCTGGGGCGCGCAGCGGGTGGACCCTGAGTACGCAAGCAGCAACTGGCGGACACAGTGAGGCTGCAATTGTAGAGCAGGGCGGGGCGTGCAGCCCAGGATCCCAGGGAAGGGACTGAGATCCCAGGAGAGTGGGGCGGCCGCCATTGTTCGCCCCCGCCCCCACATACAACGTCACAATCTAGGGTGGCCAGCCCCGGTGAACACCTAAGGCTCCACCCCTCACCGTAACAAGAGCGACCAGACCCACCCCCCCAAAAAAGAGAGCGAAAGATGGCTCAAATAGAAGAACAAATCAGTGCCCCAGAACTCATCCTTTTGAGCGACCAAGAAATAGCTAACCTATCAGATGCATAGTTCAAAACACTGGTGATCAGGAAGCTCACAGAATTGGTTGATTTTGGGTGCAAATTAGATGAAAAAATGCAAGTTACCATAAAAGAGATGAAGGAAGATGCACGGAGAACCAACAGTGATGAGAAGGAAACTGGGACTCAAAACAACAGAGTGGACCAGAAGGAAGAAAAAAACAACCAAGCAGGAAAGAACGAAGAAATAAGAATTAAAAAAAAAAGGAGAAGCTTAGGAACCTCCAGGACATCTTTAAACGCCCCAACATCCGAATTATAGGGGTACCAGAAAGGGAAGAGGAAAAGCAACAGATTGAACACATATTTGAACAAATAATAAAGGAGAACTTCCCTGCTCTGGCAAAGGAAATAGACTTCCAGGAAATCCAGGAAGCTCAGAGAGTCCCAAAGAAGTTGGACCCAAGGAGGAACACACCAAGGCACATCCTCATTACATTACCCAAGGTAAAAATGAAGGAGAGAATCCTAGAAGCAGCAAGAGATAAGGGGACAGTTACCTACAAAGGAGTTCCCATCAGACTGTCAGCTGATTTCTCAAAAAGAGACCTTACAGGCAAGAAGGGGCTGGAAAGAAGTATTCCAAGTCATGAAAGGCAAGGACCTACATCCCAGATTGCTCTATCCAGCAAAGCTTTCATTTAGAATGGAAGGGCAGATAAAGCGCTTCTCAGATAAGGTCAAGTTCAAGAAGTTCACCACCAAGCCCTTATTATATGAAATGTTAAAGGGACTTATCTAAGAAAAGAAGATAAAGAAAAAACATGTGTAGTAAAAGGACAGCAAACTCACAATTATTAACAATCACACTTAAAGCAAAACCAAAAGAAACTAAGCAAACAACTAGAACAGGAACAGAACCACAGAAATGGGGATCACATGGAAGGTTAGCAACAGGGGAGTGAGAGGAGGAGAGAGGGGGTAAAGGTACGGAGAATAAGTAGCATAGAATATAGGTAGACAATAGACAGGGGGAGGGCAAGAATAGTACGGGAAATGTAGAAGCTAAAGAACTTATAAGTATGACACACGGACATGACTAAAGGGGGGATATGGGTGGGAGAGGGTGTACAGGGTAGGGGGGAGTGAAGGGGGGAAAATGGGACAACTGTAATAGCATAATCAATAAAATATATTTTTAAAAAAGATTTTTTCAGAGAAAGGGAGGGATAAAGAGGGAAACATCAGTGCGTGGTTGCTTCTCATGCACCCCCCGACTGGGGGCCTGGCCTGCAACCCAGGTGTGTGCTCCGACTGGGAGTTGAACCAGCGACCCTTTGGTTCTCAGGCCAGTGCTCAATCCACTGAGCCGTACCAGCCAGGACCAAACCTTTATTTTTGTGGCTAAGATCAGTTCCTGGCTGAGTGGTGCACCATGGTGTCCAAATCAGGCTGCACGGGAACTGTCCCCCCGCAGCCGCCACAGACCGGCAGCATTCTGCACCCAGGCCGGCCGCCCCTCCCTCGGGCGCCGCGGAAGGAGGCGGGCGAAGTCTCTCAGCAAACCTGGCTGACCCGTGTTGGCTCCTCCTTTCTGCCGTGAGCGGTCTCCCGCTTCAGGAGTTGGCGCGTGCACGCCCAAGCCCGGGGTGGGGCCCAGGGCAGCGAGGGGAGGCAGGAGAGCCCGGGCGTGGAGCCCAGCTCAGCCCTGCGCCCCTGCGGCTGCAGCCCGGCCTGGCCGGGAAACGCATGCCGGGGTGCACCCTCCCCGTCGGGGCGGCAGGGCCCGGACACGGGGCAGCACCGTCTCCGCCCTTCCTGTGAGGAGCGGTGCGCTGCACGGACACGCCGCAGCCAGAGCCGGGCCCCTGGCCTGGGCTGTCCGCTCCCGGCTGCTGCCCCACACCCACGCCGGCCCGCTCGGCCCAGCTGTGCTCTGCAGCTGGGCGCAGGGTGCCCGTGCGCGGCAGGGGCCTCGTACACGTGTGTGAGCAGCGCGTTGGACAGGCGGCAGTGGAGTTCGGTGGAGGCGGCCTGGGTGCTCTGGGGGCGGCTGTGGTGTCGTCCCGAGAGGCTCACTGCTTCAGCGGCCTTGATGCCTCCCTCCCAGCCTTTCCAGCTGGGCGCCGAGGCCCTCCAGGGCTCTGCAGGCCGGCCTCGGGGCGCTGGCCCCGGTGTCCGGGGTGCCCCCGAGCACTGCATCCCCGAGGCCAACGGGAGGCCATAAGGGTCGGGGCTGGAGGACAGCTCACGTCCCTCTCTCAGGGGCGACGGCTGCTGGAGAGTGGGCGCCGCTGCTTCCCTGCCGACCCGCAGCCACAGGTTTGCTCTCCCGGAAAAGGTGCAGACACACTAGAAAGCCTCCTGCACCGAGTGGTACCTACGTGAAAGGCTGACAGTCTCCCTAAGTGCACTCAGGCCCCTCGGTCCTTGCATGGGCCCTGAGAGCCGCTTGGGGGCTCGTCCCGGGTGGGCCAGCCCCCGCCCCAGCCTGCGGGCCCCTCCTCCGGGCATCTCACTGGCCCTTCCTGTCGCCGGGCTCAGCACCCCCAGTTCCTGGCCTCCTGCCCGTCAGCGAAATTGTCTCAGCGCCCCCGTGGCCTGGAACTGCCCGGCCCTCGGTGGGGGCAGAACAGTGTCCCACCGCCCCGTCCCTGGGGGCCCCGCCGGCGTCTCACATGAGTCTAGAGGAAGCTCTTCTGGCCCTTCTGCAAGTGCCCCAGGTCTGCACGTCCCCAGCCTGCCCCTCCTGGGCGTCTCGGCCCCCACGTGGTGGCCCCCCGGGTGGGTGTACACCCGGGAAGCGCTGGGTCCAGCCTGCCCTCCTGTGGCTGCCACGGCCCCCTCCCGCCGCCCCGCCGCCGTGTGGCTGTGGCTCTGCTCCACCGCCTGCTGGGGGGGTGGAGGTGGCAGCCATGGGAGAGCCCATGGTTGGGGGGGCGCAGGTCACAGACCTGCCTTAAAGGAGGGAACAGGAAGATGAAAACCAGACCCAGGAAACTTGCTTTTTACACTGCGAGCTGGGGAGGAGACGAGAAAGAGAAAGCACACTCAGCGGTTGGGTCACACCGACCAAGAGGGGCTCCCCGGGCCCGTCCCCACCAGCAGCCTGGCCCGCACCCCCGGCGCCGCCCCTGCTCTGCGGCACCCGCCCCCCCCCCCCCGTGGGACAGGCTTCCTCTCATGCCCGGCTCATCCCTGGCCCCCCGGAAACGACCCTCAGCGTGCCCGCAGCCCGACAGAAAGCAGCATCCTCTGCTCCTGGGACCAGGCGGGGCCCCGGGAGCCCGTCGAGACGCCCTGGCCAGTGCGGAGGGCACCAGGCACGGGGCCGGGCTTGCCCCTCGCGGCGCCTCTAGGGACACAGTCACGCGCACCAAAGGCTTCCCCAGGAGCTCGCTCGGCCCCCGATGTGCTCCCACGGCCGCAGCACAGGGACGGCCGTCACCGCGGGGCGCTCAGACGTGTCCTCCGGACACAGTGCGACCACAGCGGCCACTCTTCGGTGCAAGTCTGCGCGGGCATGCTGCAAGGACATGGCTGGGGACATGCCCAGGGCACACATGGCACGCACGGCGAAGCCCCGCCACCGTCACACACAACACACGCTGAATCGTTTGGATTCATATAAAAAAGTATAAAATATTTCCTGCCCCAAATTCTTAGGCTACAAAAGTGAAGTGGAGCCTCGCATGAGGTGGTTTTACAAACAGGTCGGAGCGGGCCGTGCAGCGGGTGTCAGGTGTCGGGGCGCTGGGGCGGCCGGCCGGCCTCTGCTCAGCAGCCCCCGCCTCTCCGCTCAGCAGCCCCCGCCTCTCCGCTCCGCGGCAGGCAGGCGGCACCGCTTCACGTCAGCCTTGACCTCCCTCTGCGGGTCTGCCTGGTGGAGAAACGGCGGCCACTCAGTGCCGGCCCGCGTGGAGGCGGCCGCTGCGCTCAGGGGAGCCCTTGAGGCGCTACCTTCTGGTTTGCTCCCAGGCACTCCAGGGGCCTCAGCCGCGGGGCCGCCCCGCGCCCTCTGTGTCCGAATACGGGGGGCAGCGCCAGGCGGGGGGACGGCAGGCTGGTCGCCCCTGAGAGCTTCAGTCTGGGCAGCTCCGTCCGGCCGGCGGGTGCCGGCCTCCCGGGCCGGTCCTCCTGCTGCTTCAGGGGCCACTGCTGAAACAGGACGCGGGTCAATGGGGCCCGCCTGGCGTCTCCCCCGTGGAAATCGGGGGAGACAAGAGGCTCTTTGGCGCCATTTCTACCGGACGCAGCTTCCTGGTCACGAGACACGACCAGGCAACACGTGCCGCCCCGGCCACCCGAGGTGAGGCGGCCACCCTCTGCGGCCACAGCGGAGCCGCGGTGTCCATGCTGCAGGCTCCTGCGTGCCACCACGGGGCCGGCCGACCAGGGCACCGCCTCCTGCCCAACCCCCGGGTCCGCCGGACCTGCTGCCACCTGCTTCTGTGCAGCTGGTGGACAAGGAGTGGCTTTTATCTTTTCACATGCATGTTTCCACGTGCGCACTGTGGCCGTGCAGACGTGCGTGGGCCGGCCTCGGACCGCAGGCGGGCCCCTGGTGGGGACCGGCAAGGTGACACAGACAGACAGACGTCCGAGCCGCCAGGAGGGGCGGCTGAGCAGGGAGGGACCGCAGTTGGGGGGCAAACGAGGGAGGCCCAGGGCAGGGAACGGGCGTCTGCGGTGTGGGGCCCGAGCAGTGGGAGGGGAGCTGCGGGCAGGCACCCCGGGAAGGCGTGGAGAGGAAAGCAGCGTGGGCGGCAGGCCGGGGCATCAGCGCTGCGGCGCCGGCCGCGGGTGGGCGGGGCCTGAGCAGCCGCCGCAGGGACGCTCCGCACGCGCTGGCGTGGGAGGAAGCGGATGCTGGGGTGGCAACGTCACCACGGACCCCGGGGGCCCAGCACGCGGCACGTGAAGCAGGGGTGACGGCGCTGAAGCCGCTCCTGAGCCGGAGCGTGAGCCGCCTCTGTGTTGGTGGGACGGCGCTCCGCCGCACTGCCGGCTCACGGGCTGGGGGCCCAGCGCAGATGGCACGCACTGCAGGGGGGGGGGCCCGGGGCGGGGAGGGGGGGCCAGCTGGGTGGTCTGGGCGGTCTGGGCCAGGGCGGAGCTTCTCTGTGCCCGAGCGAGGGTCCCTCTGAGGGCCCAGGAACAGCACCTGGGGGCACTCTGGCGCCCAGCCAGGCCCGGGCTGGAAGAGCCCCACTGCCGCTGGCCCGGCCTGCTCACACAGACGGTGTCCTGGTCCCTAAGCTGGGGGGCGGGCGGAAAGGGCCCCGGAGCCGTGGCTGGCCTGGTGTCGGCCCTACTCAGAGACACAGGCCTCCTGAGGACGGCCGGTCCTGCCACAGCGGCCCGCCAGCTCGTGGACTCCCTCCGCACCTGCTTTCTGCTCTCCTTGGAGGTCTGCCAGTTGCCGCAGGGCGGGTCCCCGGCCACGGGGCGCTCCGGGAAGACGGCGTCTCTGTGGCTGCCCAGAGCCTGCTTCTCTGCCGCCCTGCGGGGAGGGAGGAGGGAGGGGGGAGCGACAACCCCTGAGAGCCGCCTGAACGGCGCCGGCCTCTCGGTCTCCTCGTGTGTCTGCCCTGCACGTGGTCACTGCCTCCGCTCTTTCCCGGGAGCTTCTCCAGGACCTTTTCCCCTTTGCTGTCCCGGCCCCACAGCCTCTGGGCTGCAGCAGAGGGGACTCTGTGAGTTGTGGGTGTGGCCCTGCCACAGGCCCGCCCCTGCCCGGGACTCGAGGTCAGGGTCAGACTTCAGCTGCACGGTCACACGCAGGAGTGGCCAGAGGTGTGGGGTCAGACGCCGTGGGCGTGCACTTCCCACGCTGGGTGCACACGATGCCCGCTCGGACCTCACAACCAGCTCACCCCGTTCACCCTGGGGTGTGCAGGGGGCCCCCCCCCATCCTAACAAGGGAGTGCTCCGGGTGTTTCAGAAAAGGGCGGGTCAGACAGAGCGCTGTCCGGGGCCCCTCCGGCCTGCCCCACAGTCTCCCGAGCGCCCACCTCTGCTCCCGGAAGTAGGGGTGCTGCAGGGCCTGGTGGGCCGTGATTCTCTCGTCGGGGTCATAGGCCACCATGGCGCGCAGCAGGCAGAGGCCTTGCGGGGGCAGGCTGGCCGTCGGGAGAGGTATCCCTGACCCCTTTTTAAAAGGAAAATCAAAACTCATAGCTCTCGACCTGCATTGGGAGCCCAACGACAACAAGCGGTCACGCCGTTACTGAGTGCACGCGGCCGTCGTCACGACGACTCTACAGGGCCCTGCACTGGGGGCCCGTCCGCCACCCGAGGGGCCCGGCCGTGCAGCGCCCAAACCACAGCACGTGCCGCCCGGGCTCGGCCCCGTGGGGACGGTGGGCTCACGGCACGGGGCCAGGTCCTCGCACTGGCAGACGTGCCCCGAGGGTGCCGCCAGCGGTGCGGTGGGGGGGGGTCTCTTCTCTGTCCTCCCCCCCCTCCCCCCAGGCTCTGCTGCGAGCCTCAAACTGCTCTAACGCGTGCGGTCCTGGGGCGTAAAGGAGGGGCAGCGGTGAGGCCCGTGCGCGGTGAACGGAAGAGCAACGCCCTTCCTCAGACAGACCGACACCACGCTTCCACCCGAGGACAGTGGGAGGGGGGGGCTTCCCCAGCAGCCGTCACTCCTCGCTTTCCTCGGTCTCGGGGCTGCTGGGTGCCGCCCACCCCTCAAGCCCACGGGGCCCTCGCGGGGGGGGGGGGCCACTCCCCGGCTCTTCTTCCTCATTGAGCAGCTCAGCGCCCTAGAGTCCTGGTGCCCTGGCTGGTGCCGGGGCGTGGGCGAAGCGGGGTGGCCGCTCGCAGCCCTCCTGCACCCGAGGGCCCTGCGTTGGGTCGGTGCCCAGGCTGCTGCCCGCAGCGGGGTGGTGGGGGCTGTCCCGTGACACTCTCGGCAGAGCGCCCCCCTGTGCCCCCGGGGCTCTGAGGGGCTTGCAGCCCCTTCGGCGGCAGCGGGGACCCCGGTGGACTGAGGGGCCCCACCCCCGGGCCCCCTGGCTGCCCCCACGGGACCCTCGGGGCCACAGGGCACTTACTGCTTGAACTTGGTGAGGGTCTTGGCGGGAGGGGTGCCCATGACGTCGTGGATCTTCGAGATCTGGTCCAGCTCGTTGACCCCGGGGAAGAGGGGCTGCAGGCTGGGGGGACGCGACGGGGCTGTGGTCAGGGCCGTCCCCGGCACCCTGGTCACCCCAACCCCGCGGCCCTGCGACGCCCACCCGAAGTAATTCACGGCCTCGGAGCGCGAGAGAGGGCGGGCTCCCCGCGCTTTTGGACTCAGGGGAGTCACCCATCCGAGTGGTCCCGGGCCAAAGGTGTGCACTTGCATCGGGACCGGTCACGCAGCCAGCGGGGGAGGAGGCAGGAGGCCTGGGCACCCCCCCCGCCCCCCGCTGTCCTGCGCTGGTGTGCATCCCCCCCCAGACGGTGAGCGCGCCCCACGCCTGACCGCCCGCTGTGAGCCATTGAGGACCCGGCTTGGGCAGCTTCGGGCTGCCCCCCGGGCCCCCTCCTCCCTTCTTGCCATGCCATGTCCCGTCCCGGGGGGAAGCCCCAAGGCCAGGGTGTCAGGCCCGGGGCCACCGCTCACACCCCCACGGCAGGACCCCCGGGTGGCGGTAACAAGTTTCCGCTCAGTTCCTAGCTTGGCGGCTGGTCGTTTCACCGCCGCCGCCGCCGAGGCAGAGACCCAGGGCAGGGGGTGCCGGGGGAGGAAGGCGCGGACCCCGTCCTGTTCTCCGTCACCAGCAAGCAGGAAATGTGCCGACAGGAAGCACGGTCCCACGGAAAGCAGGCACAGCCCCGGGACGACCGTGACACCGTGTGGCACAGGCGCCCCCCCCCCACCCCGAGAGCGCGAGGCCTCGCCCGCGGCCCTACCTGGCCATCTCGTAGAGGACGCAGCCGGCGCTCCACAGGTCCATCTTGTAGCTGTAGCAGCCGTCCGTGAGCAGGCACTCCGGGGCGCGGTACCAGCGGGTGGAGATGTACTCCGTGTGCGGCTGCTCGGCGTAGACGCTGCAGCAGGACCCGAAATCCCCGAGCTTCAGGACGTCCTGCTGCGAGGGGGGGGGAGGCAGGGACACTGCCCTCTGTCCTGGGGGGGAGGGCTGTTGCGCCGTGGGCCACCCCCAGCAGTCACGGGCATGGGGCTGGGGGGTCACCAGCACCTGCCCGGCTTGTAAAATGCAAATTCCCGGCTCTCCCTTTCTAAGCACCTGGAGGTGCCCCTCACAGGTAAGGAGGCGGGGCTTCCCTTCAGCAGGCCGTGTTGACAGGTGTTCTGGCTGTGCTTTACCAAGCTTTCCAAATGGCCACAGGTCCCGGAAAGAGTCAGGTCGCAGCGCCAGGCTGCGAAGGAGCCGCACCCCGCGGTCAGCTGCCGCGCCGCCTGCCCCGGGGCAGCCCGGCCTGGCCGGCACCCGTGGGCTCGCTCTTTGGAGCAGGTCGGGCGGACCCGGGAAGAAGCGGGTTTCAGGATATCCCCGCCGTTCTCCTTGCCCCTCACTTTCAGGTAGTAAAACCCAGGCTGTCGGTGACTTCGCGGCCCCGGCATTCACGGCCGCAGCGGACATTCCGCTCGGCGCGGCTCTGAGCCCGCCGGCCCGGGAAGCTCCGCGGGCCGCGCCTCCGCGCCCACTCCCCAGCGCGCCTCGCGGGGCTCGCGACGGAAAGGGCGAGGCGCGTCGGGAGGCAGGAGAAGCGCAGCCTGGGAACACAAAGCGGGGGCCTCGGGCCGGGGCGCCTCCGCAGTAACGGGGCTCCGACGGAAAGAGCGGACGGCAAGGCCGAAGGGGCGGGGTCCGCGGGGAGATGGAGACTCTAAGATAAAGAGTCAGAAGGAGACGCTAAAGCATATTTTCTCTAACTGGCAAAAATGAAACAGGACTCTGCCGGGCGGCCCGACGGACGGCACGCAGCCGAGGGAGGAGCCAGGTGGGCGGGCCGCCAGCCGTGCCCCGCGCGTGCGCGCGCACAGAGGAGATCCGGCCGGGACAGAGGGGAACGCCCAGCAACTCGGGGGGCGGGGGGCGGTTTCCAAAGGCGAGGCCCAGGTCCGGCGACTCGGCCGAATCCCAGGATAGCGACGCTGAGGGACAGCAGCCGGACCGGAGAAAACTGCATTCCAGCCACTTCCATCTATAGAGCCTTCTGGACAATGGAAACTAATCCTGTGACAGCAGAAAGCCAGCTGCTCTGCGCCTGGGTCGAGGGCTGGGGCAGGGGGCACCCGCGGGCCGTCCCCTCGCCACGGTGAGGGCTGCGGTGCCGGCGTCCCGGGTGGGCGCACGTGCCGAAGCCGCCGCTCGTTCACGTGGCTTTGGGGGCGCAGACCAGAGCCGGGGCCCCGACTCTCCCACTTTGAGGTTCCGAATGTTTAGGATGATAGTTTGAAAGGGGCTTGATTTTGGATATCGTCTGAGCCAGGTGCCCGAGATTGTCTTCTTCCACCACATGTACGGCATCGGTGACGTTTATCAACTAAGCCGTTTTTCCCAACCGGGAGGGAACACGGAAAAACAGGAGCAGACCCCGCAGCCAGGTATCATCTGGGCTTGAAAGCGCACCCAGCGGGAACCGGAGGTTCCACCTTTACGCCGATACCCATTTTTCACACAGACGCCCTTACCTTTATTAATATATTTTCCGGTTTGACATCTCTGTGAAATATTCCACTCCTGCGTTCAACAGAAAAGGAAGGACACAATTGGTCGCGCCTCACTCGCGCCAGTTGCTCCGCGCGGCCGCGGGGGGGCGCCGCGCCCGGCGCACCTGTGCACGTGGTCCAGGGCCCGGCACAGCTGGTACGCGTAGCGCGCCACCTTGCGCTCCGACAGCGGGCGTCTTCTCCCTGCGCGGCAAGCAAACGGCCCGGCGCCGGCGCCGGTACCGGCGGTACTTAGGCCCTTTTTGTACATAAAAAGCAGAACCCATTCTTACTTAACAGAGTGTGAAAATCTAGCCTCCCCTGTGAGAAGCCACGGGAAGCAGTCGTACGGGAAACATGGAGTGCGCCTACGGAACGAGCCGCTTACGTTCTCCCCAGCAGCGTGGCTCCGCCTGGCGCGACGGTGCCCGCGTGCCCTTCGCCGTGGGGGCGGTGTCGGGTAAGACCCCCGGGGCAGCCTGGTCTGACACACCTGCCGGGGCCTGGGGGCTTCCCCAGGACGCCGCCCCTCCGATTGCAGACCAGGGAGCGTCGGGAGTCCCCCGGGAACCCAGAGTTTTCCTGGGCTCCGGTCTGGACGGAAAGGTCCACTCAGAGGGGGACAGACCGCGGCCGCAGGGCAGCAGGGCCTCACTTCGCTCCCAGAAGACCGATGGCTTCTCTGCCGTCCTGCCCGGCTCTAACCAGGGGCCGCCTGCTGCCCCACTGGGCTGACGCGGGCGAGCAGCACGCCAGCTCGCTGGGCGTCCGCGCCGCCTGTGTCCCACGTGGCCCGCCCCGCCCCGCAGGCCTGTGGGACGTGCTACCCCTGACCGCACTCCGGCGCCCTCCTTCTCCTGGTTCGGGGACTCGTCGCTGCTCACTCGGTTTTAATGGCACAGGCGTGTGCTTTAAGCTATTACTTTTTAAATCTGTAAAGTAACCATTCTCACTTACCAACTCCGAACACCAGGAGCACGTCCCATCGGCACTATTGGCCCCGTGTTTCCTCTTTGGTCCCAGTGGAGGAGCCCGCTCCCCGCTCCTGGGCACCCCGCCCCTCTGCAGCCCTGGGTGAGGGCGCGGTGCCGCCCCCACCCCGGAACCCCCGCCCCTGAACCCCCTCCCGATGGAGGAGCGAAGCTGCTGGGGAAACAGGCGCCCTGTCTGCTCCAGCACCCTGACCAAGTTCAGTTTCACCAAACCCTCTCATCCGGAACAGTCCGAGCGTTGCCACGGGCAACACTAGTCACGTGGCAAAGTTCAAGTCAGCACGAGGATCACCTACGGCCTTTGCTGTCCTCCGTGCTGAGGGACGGTGGCTGCCAGCATGGCCTGCTGTGACAGAGTCATGGCACACACCCCCTCCCGCCAGAGACCACGGTCCCCAGGCCTGTGCCTGGCTTGGCTGGCCGGGCTTGGAGGCACCCTTGGGGGCCACCACAGTGTCCACGGCACCGCTCACACGCTCGCCCCCGGTGTCTCCGAAGGACGCACGGCCCCAACTGGCAGGGGGCGAGTCAGGCCCAGTGTGGAGCCTGGGCACGGACGGCGGCCCACGTCGTCGGTCCCGGCCACTCTCGAGGGCGGCCCTCCCGCTCTGCTCGCCTAGGCTGGCCCCTCTTGCACACGCGCTCCAACTCAGGACCCGCCGCCGCGGAGCCCACGAGTGCGTGCTGGCTCGCCTAGGCTGGCTCCGTGGACTGAGTGCTGGTCTGCGAACCAAAGGGTCGCTGGTTCCACTCCCAGTCAGGGCGCAGGCCTGGGTTGCAGGTCAGGCCCCTGTTTGGGGGCGTGTGAGAGGCAACCACACATCGATGTTTCTGTACCTGTCTTTCTCCCTCCCTTCTCTCTCTGAAAATAAACAAATAAATGAATAAATAAACACATGAAAGTTCTTGGATTAGCTTTCAAATGAGTCCACGTACCTCGTATCAGCTCATAAATATTCACGTCCATCAGTTCACATATCAGCGCAAGAGACCCAGATTTTCTGTCGCTGAAGAAGAAAGCAGGACTTTAAGGGCGTTGTCAGGCCTTCGTCAGAAAAGACAATCAAACATCTGACTCATCTGCAAACATTTCTGGTAAAAATGACGCACTCCCACACCAGACAGAGTCTAAGGGGTAATGACTGAAAGAGGAGAAGTTTTTACTTTAAGTAAATATTCCAGGTAAAATTAATTTGAAATCACAGCAGAACTGCACTTCAGGCAAACACTTTAACCCCTTCCCACCCGCCGGTTTCCGAAGCCGCGGGTCGTGACCCCGGAAACTCTGCTCTGGGCACAGAGAAGCCCGAGGGCGGGGGCGGGGCCCAGCAGAACCTCGGGGGGAGAGGGGGGGTGCAATAGCCCTGTGACCGCGACCTCGGTTTCATTGTACCTGAACAGCACCCATGGGGTTGGGGTACTCCTCAACGGGGAGCAGAGCCCAGGAGCCGGTCGGGAAAAGGGGGAAAGATGAGAGACATCACCCTTGTGGGGGGTGGGGGCAGGGGGCGGGTACCGTGGCCTCTGGCTGAGCCGCCAGCTTCTCCTGAGCTCACACAGCCCCGAAAGGGACCCCCGGCCCCAGGCCGGGCAGCCCGTGGGCCCCCACTGGCTCTGGGTGCCTCGGGTGGGGCTGGGAGGAGGCCCACGCCAGCTCCGGACAGAGACGCTTTCTGAAGGACTCGTGAAGCGCCGCTGCCGCGGGCCGGGCCGGGCCTGTGCCCCGCAGACGGCCGTCTCCAGGCCCAGCCCAGACTGACCGCTCCGGACGGCGCCGGCCAGGAGGCCACACAGCCAGGGCCAGGGAGCTGACGCCACGTTTAAAACTGCTCGCGCCTCTGGGAACGCCTGCCGCCCGCAGCTGTCGGAGGCTGTGGCTGCTGGCCGGGTCGTAAAGTCCAGGCTGCCTTCTCGGGACCCGGGCTGCGCTGGCCCAGGGCAGGCGGGACCTGGATGCCCTGAGGAGCCTGGCCCCCCATCTGGGTCCGGGTCCCGGTCCCGGGTGCAGGGCCCAGTCGCCCACGCCTGCAGACTGGCTGCATCTGGCTCTCCTGGCTGGTAAGCGAGCCTATGGACGCAGCCCACAGTTAGACCAGAAATGGCACCCCCTCACCCCTGAAACTGTGCGGTCGGAGGGAGAGCGGCTGCAGGCAACCACGGAGCGAGCGCGGCAGGGGAAGGGAGAGCCGTCCGAGGTGCGCCCACAGAGCCATCCCTGAGGGCTGCGGCTTGCACCGGGTGGGGGCTGGGGGGTGGGGGGTGTGGGGGGGTCTCCGTGCCCAGAGCCGCCACTGGCCCACAGCAGCCTCACTGGCCGGGAGCCGGGGACTCCGTGCGCTCGAGCGTGGCCTGGGTGGAGGCCCTGCTGCCTTAGGGGTCGGGCACACGGCCACGGGTCAACAGGCGACTTAAGATGAAAACCGTGACTCTCAGAGCAGCTAAGCAAACGTCTAAAATGCCCACCTCGGTTTTATTTTTCTTAAAGAGAGATTCAGTCACCGCCATCGAGTCCAGACACCGCCGCCGGGCCCGGGCGTACTTACAAGACCACCTCGTGCAGCGTGAGGATGTGCGGGTGCGGGTTCAGGTGCCGCAGGGCTCGGACCTCCCGGAGGCTGTTGGCCTGCTCCAGGCTGCTGTGCGGGCAGAGACAGGGCGCCCCGCGTCACTCGGGCCGGCCGCCGAGGCCGGCCAAGACGCCGCTAGCAGCCCCCCGCGGTCGCAGCTGGAAGACGCAGCAGGCTCAGCCGTGCCTCTCCCATGGGCGGCTACAGTTCAGCTTGTCGAGGTTCCGCACTGTCTCACGGAAGCCAGGGTCCCCCCAGCCCCAGCAGACGGGCAAACCATCCCACCTACGCTCCTGGAGGGGTACCCCGGTGGTTTCTGCTGCTGTTAATACATGCAGACACAGATAATAAAACCCCCTGTTCATCAGTTTATGGGAGCTAACCACCTGAGCGGTGTAAGCGCCACGTGAAAAGGAGCATTTTTAATTTCACGGATGGACCCACCCTTCCTTCTTATCGTTTCTGAGGGCTGCGCATCTTTTCAGCTTCCTTCACCTGGCCACAGGTGTCCCCTCAGCACCCGGGGGACACGCGGCCGCACGGCCCGCCCCAGAGTTCTGAGGGGAAGCGATGGTGGGGTGCCCTCTCCTCGGGCGGGCGAGTCCGCCCCGCTGCCCTCTGACCCGTCTCTCGCGCCGGCCAGCGGCTGGGGGCCCGGTGGGGAGGAAGGAGACCCCCCGAGCCGTCTGAGAGTGAGGTCGCCTCAGGCTAGAATGTTCTGGCGTCTCGGGGACGCACTGGAGGAAGAACTCGGGCCACACATTAAAGGCATTGCGACACGTAATTGCAAACAAATTCCCGTAATGTTTTAAGTGAATTTGTGATTTTGTGTTGGGCCACATTCATGGCCATCCCGGGAGGCCCCCGGCCTGCAGGCCATGGTGGGACACCCCTGTTCTAGACCCTTCTTTCATTGCCACCCGCAGTCCCCTCCCACTCAGGACAAAGAACAAAAAAGATGCTGCCCACCACGTGGGGCCAGGTCCAGAAGGAGGGCCCTCTGGTGGCTGGAACGGGGGCACAGGGGGGCTGGGGGTGCTGGGCAAGGAGCCAGGAGCAGGGCGGGGGGGGCCGCACCCCGGACGCTCAGGCGGCGGCCGCTGGCTGCCCAGAACAGGCGGCGCTGCCTTGGCCGAGCCCCGGCGGCAGTGGCGGCAGGAGTCGTCCAGGCGGACCACAGGGTCGGCTGCACCATCGCGTCCCTTTCCGGACCCTCACTCCCGCTGGGTGGCACTCCGGTGCGTGAGTGGCCTCTCATGAACGCTTCACAAAAACCTTACGAAAACCCAAATTATTTGGCAAGGCTCTATCTGAGTCTTTTAAAAATAATTTCAGATGCTCTTTTATTTAGAAACCCTGTGCCTCCTTGTTTTGATCAAGTCACACAGCCTGTCTTCAGCTATTTAAAAAATGCTGCCTAAAATAGAGCCGTACTTCTAAAATAGCCACTGACGGCGATGCCAGCCGGTCGAGAGCCGGGGGACCCAGTGCTGCCACTGATGTCAGCCCCCGCAGCTCGGCCCCCACCACCCCGGCCTCACCCTCCCTCTGCGGGCCGTGGGTCCTTCGGTCCCAGCGTGCCCTGACTTGACCCCACCCGCCCCGTCGCCGCTCAGCCTTGACGGGCGTCCGAAGGTGTCGAACTGGCCATCGGCCTTCAGCGGGGACCCTGCGCCGGGGACCCTGCGCCGGACCCCCTCACAGCGACTGCGGCCCCCCGGGGCACGGCAGTGACGGTTCTTCTAGTCCTGAGGACGTGGTCTGTGTGTGAGTCTCTCGTCCACGGACACGGAACTTGTGAGTGAAATACCGGTGCCTTCAGGTTCCCCGCTCTCGCCAGCGGCCCGGCGACAACGCCCTTGCGCACGCGGTGTGGCTCTCCCTGCACCCCAGCTGCACCGGAAGGCGGTCCCCGCTCGGCGCTGAGGCGTCTGCGGCCGGCCGTGCGCGTTTCTGGAGGCATCTGTGTGTCTGTCCCACGCATCAGCTCCACGCAGGCCCGGGTCCCTAGGGTGTGGGTCCTTCTGCGTCAAGGCGGTGGCCACAGTCTCCCACAGGCGGTCAGAGACCTGGTCAGAAACGCGCTCCACAGCCCGGACCCCCACGGCACTGGCGGCCGGCGCCCCGTCCGAGCCTCCAGCACCCGGTGCCACGGAGGCGCGGCGCTGTCCTCGCCCGCCGCTGCGGCGTCTCCGGGGCTGCAGCCCTCACGGAGGGGGAGCCTCCCACAGGGACGCCGCCCTGCAGCCCCGGGTGATTTCCCCGGGGAACGGTTGCAAACACTCAAGAAAGGAACACTCCGGCACATTTCACACAAGGAGAGGCACGGAGCACCAGCAAGCAGCGGACCTGCAGGGCGGGTCCCACACTCGGCCCCAGCACTGGCCGCCGGTGACGCCAGGCAGGTTAGGGACCTTCTCTCTCTGGCCCACGGCCCCTGGTCTGAAAGGAGGCAGCAGGGCCTCCGCCTCCAAGGGCCATGCGCGGGCGGTGACGCGAGGACAGGTGACGCGTGGGCGAGTGACGCGTGGGCGAGACCCACCCAGGGCTGGCAGGGTGGGCAGCGGGGCTCGGAGCGGCTGCCGCAGTCGCCTGGCATGGCTGCCGTCGCCGCCTTGAGTCTCTCCCGCCGCCCACACCCTGCGCAGGGCCGTCCGGAAGGGCGGAGAGAACAGCAGAGAGGTTTTCACCGTAGGGGAGAGCTAGTCGTTTGATGCTGCTGCTGGAGACTCCAGAACTCGGAAAGCGAGACAGAGTGTCTTCCGGGTTCAAAACCAAAACCAAAGAACAGCATTCAATGTGGGGATCAAGACTCAGCGACACGCCTTGGTTGGCGTAGCTCAGTGGACTGAGCGCGGGCTGCGAACCAAAGTGTCGCAGGTTCGATTCCCAGTCAGGGCACATGCCTGGGTTGCAGGCCATGACCCCCAGCAACCGCACATTGAAGTTTCTCTCTCTCTCTCTCTTTCTTCCTCCCTTCCCTCTCTAAAAATAGATAAATAAAATATTTAAAAAAAAAGAATCAGTGACACGAGAGCATCCAAAAATTATTAGCAACCTCATTCCTAGAAATGACACCAAAGTGCTTCACTTTCTAGAAGAAACATAAAGTCGTTTCTTCCTACCATTCGGAAACAGCAGCCATACCTTCCCCAACAGAGAAAGCTCACTCCAGACCTCCTGGGGCTGGCTGGGTGGTTTCACTTGACTGTTGTGCTTTTCAGTTTGAAACGATTTCAGACGCACAGCTGAGTCGCAAGGATGGTGCGGAAAGCTCCTGTCGCCACCCACCCCCGACGTTCACACCTCACCCAGCAATGATCAAAACCGAATTAACGTGGGCACGGCTCTGCTAGTTCAACCAGACGCTCTACTCAACCCCCCCGCCCCCCATTCTCCCACTACTGTCTTCTCCTCTTCCGGGGTCAGGACGCCGCCCTGCACTCGGGGGCCCTCAGGCACCTCCGCTCCCGGATGGTTCCCGGGGGGGGGGGGGGGGCCCTGTGTCGCGTCCCGGACAGGTGTGAGCGCCCCGGGCAGGCGTTGCGCAGGGGCGCCTGCACCTGCCTGGTCCGATGCGTCCTCACAGTTAAACTGAGACTGCGGGTCTCTGGGAAGCGACTCCGTGGAGGTGACGAGCCCCTCCCATCCCAGCAGGCAGGCCAGAGAGCGCGGAGCATCGCCTGTCCCATTCCTGATGGCGTCCCGTCAATCAGCTGGCTAAGTGGCAGCGTCCAGGCATCTCGCGGTGCAGCTGCTGCCTTTCCCTTTTCACTGTCTGTTCTGGAGACACAAGGCCCTGAGCCCAGCCCACGTTCAAGGGAAGGAACGCGGGCCCTGCCTCCCAGAGGGAGGCATATCCAGTAACTCGAGGACACAGTTGAAACCACCACGGTAATTACCAACAGGGAGGGGAGGGCGGGCGGCGGCGGCGGCGGAGGCCGTGCGTGCGGAAGCCCCGTTCCCCGGAGCCTCCCTCCCGTGGGCGCGGTCTGTCTGTCCGGCCGGCGGGGGTTACTGCCGCGCCTCTCCGGTGGCCTTCTCTTTCCCTCGCTCCCGCCGTGTTTGCTAACGGGATTCTCCTCCTGTGAGTCAGACCTGCCCGGCCCCGGCGTGTTTACCCACGCGGGCATTTACCCAGGTCGGCGTGCACTCGTGGTTATCTGCCTGGGGGGGGATGGAGGGACGGATGCAGAAGTGGAGAGAGGCGGAGGGTGCGCGCACCGGCCAGCGCGCACCGGCCAGCACGCACGCGCACTGGCCGCGGCCACCGAGCTCGCCCGCCGGCGGGCGGTGCCACTCCGGCCGCAGTGAGCGCACGTGGTGCGGGAACCTGGTCTCCCGGCGTCCTCCTGCAGCCCAAGGAGCCAGGGCTCCTCAGAGACGCGGAGGGTCCGAGGGCCTGCGGCGCGTGTCTCCACGGGAGGCTGCTCCGCCACACGGGCCGTCAGCACGCGGGCCTCGCCTCCTGCACTGCCTGCCCGAGGCGCAGCGGTGGAGGTGGAGGCGGGGAGAGGGACCCCGAGAACGCAGCGCCGGGAGGACCGGCCGGAGCAGAGGACCGCGCGAGGCCGGCAGCTGCAGTCGTAGCAGAGCCGGTCAGCGGCCACCCGCTCCGGGCGGCCGAGGAGACGTCTGGACGCAGAGCTGGCTCTGCCTCCCTGCGACCCAGAGGGACAACTGTCGCGTGGCGTCACATCTCTAAGCACCTGTGCTCCTGCACAAACCAGCGCTGACCGCCTCAGTCCCATGGGGACGTCAGGAGGACGAAATTAGCGTCCTCCGCCCTCTCGGACTCCAGTGACTGCCCCACCCGCCCTTCTGCTCTGCGGGGCCATTTTTCACGCGGAGGGCCTGCAGCCCAGGCCTGCCCCCCAGCCCCGCAGAAGGCTCTGCGTCGTGGGGGAGGGTGACTGCCTGGGGAAACGTGCGTAGGGGTGCGGAGACCTCGACCCTCTGCACTGGAGGCCGGTCTCCCCCTCCCCCTCCCCCTGGTCTGCCGTGGGGCAGGCTCCGCGGTGAACCCGAAGACCCGGGAGGCTGCTCTGAGGGGCGGGGCCGCCGCCGCCGCCCTCCAGGGCACGAACCCACACCAGAGAGCCCCCCCCTCCACAGATGCCACCCGCGGAGCCAGCATCCCCAGCGCTGAAGGAAAGCTCGGTTCCTCGAGTCACAAGCCATTAAACCGCACGGGCGTCCGGTGCCCTGGGACGGAGGTTTCATTGCAAAAGCCCAGCACACACGACTTCACGGAAACGGGGAGTGTTGAGAGTGAGGCACGCGTGTGCAGTTTAAACTCCTGGTGGCCGTGAGTCACTGGCAGCACAGTGAACGGGGACGCCCGTGACACCCAGCACGGGAGGCCCAGGGCTAGCCCTCGCTGCCTGCGGAAGCCTGTGCCTCGCGAGCCGCCGCGTGCGTGCGGCCCCCCGCGGACAGACGCCGCCCCTGGCTCGAACCCGCAGCCGCGCGGTGCCCGCGGGGCCGGCCGCCTACCTCTCGAAGGGCTGCCTCATCTGCTTGCCTGCGTAGCAGCGTCCGTCCCGCAGGCTCTGCATCTTCACCACTTCCGAGAACGTCCCCTCGCCTATTTTGCCGATTACTCTGTAGTCTGCGAGCGAAACGACCACGAAAACCAGCTGCCCGTCACGCGCGCGCGCACTGTGCGCTCGTTCCCAGCCGGCGAGCCTCTTCTCTGTAACCAGCTGGCGGCCTGCGTCCAGGCTGGTTCTCCTCCCCCCCGCCCCCCGGGGTTCAGGGCGCCCCTCACTGGCTGTGCGGGCCGGAGCACCCCGGCCTCTCTGCGCTCCCCACCCGCACCCCAGGGCAGGGGACTGGTGACCAGCACCCTGGCGGGGTGCCAGGCCCAGAGCCACAAGACCTGGAGAGCAGAGGGGCAGGGGGGCCGGCGGGGGTGGCTCCGGGGGACATGGGCCTGGGCATGTGGTGGTGGGGGCGCTGCCCAGCAGCCTTGGGGTCACCCTCTCTGGTCCCATGGGGGCTGGGGCAGCTGCCTGCCCCTCCTGCAATCCCTGGCGTCCTGAAACCGACGGCAGCAGCACCCAGCCTCGCCGCCACCGCTGTCATCACCTGCAGAGGTGACAGTTTCACGAGCCTCTGATTCACGATGGGCGACCCCCTCCTGCCTGAAATGCCCAGTTGCAGCCCCCCCGCCCACGCCTTTCAGACACGGCACCTCTTTCACACCTGGTGTGCACTCTGGTTTGTTCACACCAGCAGGGAAAAGGTTAATATATTTTTAGAAGCAATGGAGGCTTTTAGAAATGATGCGTACTTTTTTAAAGTTCCTATTTCAGTCAATTTCCTACTTGGTTTTTACTGATAACAAGCTCTGAATGTACCCCTGGCTGGTGTGGCCCAGTAGGTTGGGCACTAGTCCGCGAACCAAAGGGTGGCCGGTTCGATTCCCAGTCAGGGCACATGCTGGGGTTGCGGGCCAGGTCCCCAGTAGGGGGCATGAGAGGCAGCCACACACGGATGTTTTTTCTCCCTCTCTTTCTCCCTTCCGTCCCTTTTCTCTAAAAATAAATAAATATTTTAAAAAAAAAACAGGACAGAAGAAATGGAAGGGCAAACTACTGTCTGAGAAAATATTTGCAACAAATACGACACCACCTGCCATGTTCATGAAGGTGTCTCCTTTTGCACCAGCGCCTGCCTCGCGAGCCTGGCTTTGTGTGGCGACGGGCACCGCACCTCGTCTTTGTCCGGTGGCACCAGGATGGCAGTGTACAGGGACACAGACGAGGCCCCCCGCAGGGCCGGCGGCAGCTACTGAAGGTCAGGGTGCAGCGGCCAGAGGGGTGCAGGGTTGAGCGGAAGCGGGAATCTCACTCCAGTGTGCACTCGACCACAGCTGCACTGAGCAAACCCCCTTCCGACAACAACGACGACAACGGCGACACCGTGCGCTTTAAGGCGGCTGAGCGCGAGCTCCGAGTGCGCGCCGCCGCTGTGGGGGCCGACCAGAGACCATCACCACCGACCAGCGGTGAGCGATGGAGGGGCTGGGGGGGAAAGGGCCACCTTCCCCAAGGCTCCGCCCTTGTGCTGGGGATGAACCGAGGATGAAAGGCAGGGGAAGAAAACAAAGAGGAAAGCCCCCATGAAAAATCTCCTGGGAAAGTATTTTCCTGCTCTTCTCCGACAGGGTCTGGCGTAGTCCCACAGGCCGTGAAGGTCAGACGAGACTCTGGTGCTGGCGCGGAGGTGGGGACCCTCTGCACCCTGGGTGGGCGGGCAGACTGGGGCGGCCTCTGGGGAGAGCAGCGTGGAGACGCCTCAGAAAACTGAAGATGGATCTGCCTTTTGACCCAGCGATCTGATCCCACTCCTGGGAGTGTGTCCGAAGGAACCCAGAACACTAATTGGAAAGAACGTAAGCGCCCCTGAGTTCACTGCAGCGTTATTCACGATCACTAAGACATGAAAACAGCCCCAGCGTCCATGGGTGGATGAGTGATGAGTGAATGAAACAGCCAGGGGACGACGTTTACACGGTGGAAGACGACTCGGCTGTAAAAACGAAGAAGAGTTAGTACGGACGGACCTGGAGAACATGATGCTCGGTGAACTGGGCCAGGCGGAGAGAGTCAGACACCAGGCGATCTCACGCACACGTGGGATCTAACAAACAAACTGAACCGACAAGGAACACGGGGGCAGACTCACGGAGAGCAGGATGACCGCGAAGCGGGGCAGGGGAAGGGGCGGGAGGATCGAGCAGAAAGGAAAAAGGACTCATGGACGCACACATACACACCAGCATGGAGATTGCTGGGGGGAGAGGGGCACAAGGGGACAAACGGGTGATGGAAAAAGTGCAGTAAAAACCCAGGAAGTTAGAGGAGAAGCGCGAAGACACCCGCCGCTGCGAAGGGTGCGGAGCTGTGCCCGCGAAGACAGCCACCCCGCGCACATTAACGGGAGGAGAGACGATCGGCAGCCGCCAAAACACAGAACAGACCCCCACCCAGGCTCCACCGGAAAGAGGACGCACTGTCACCGAATGGAAACGGTGGAGGAAAGGAAGATAAAGGAGACCATTTGTGTTCATTAAGAGTCTATTCACTTTTATTAGGCCGAGGCTTGTTTGTTTAAGTGGGATCTAAGCCTTATTTAACCGTGGAAGTGGAGGTCAAATTCACTTCTTGTGAAAGGAGAAACTTGTCAGGCCCAAGCGCAAACATTTGTATTCAAGCACGGCCCCTGGAGACATTTTTTCCCCTAAAGGCCTTAATCGAGGCAGGTGAGCCGCATCATCCGGGCTGGCGCCCAGCCGGCTGAGGAGGGTGGAGGAGGGGGGCAGGGGGCGGGCGGGGAGGGGGGCAGGGGGCGGGCAGGGGAGGGGGGGTAGTGACTGTGCGAGACCCAGGCTCCACCACGGCTGCCGGGAAGGGGCCTCAGCTTCTCGTCTCCACTCTCTTCAAGAGGTTAGCTCCCACGTGCACCCACCACAAGGACGGGGACCCCCGAAAAGAGGGCTGCGCCCATTAGTCACACGGTGCAGTGAGGAAGACCGTGACCTTAGTTAGCACGTGTCATGAAAACACACAAGGACAATGTTCCTAAACTCAAAGAAACTTTACATTTAAATCGCGCCCGGGAGCCCAGTGAGTCCACGGCTAGGGATGTCCACCACACAAAGCAGCAAGGTCCTAGCAGGTCGCGGCACAGCAGAAACGACCCCGCGTAGCCCCGGGGTGTCCGTCCGGGGAACAGACCCATGAAACACGCACGGAGAAAGTCTGGAAGCCGGTGGGAGGAAATGGGAACCGCGACTGACTCAGCCAGTGGGAGGGGAGGGTCCCGAGACTGACTCCAAACCCTCTGTCTGAACCGAGCGCAAAGCCAGCATCACTGTCACTTAGTTTTGTCTCAGTGTAAAGGGGGAAAGCCGCCAGCTGATGCATCTTGCTATGGAGACAGAAGGTGATGCGCACTGGGAAAAGGAGAACAGAGCAAGATTATTGGAGGTACCTTGCAGCTTTGACTCTATAGAAATACACTCATGAGGGACAGAAAGTTGACACCTCACTGCAATTACAACAGATAATTTCAAAAACTCTTTCTGTGATATAATGCACTGCGACTGTTTTAAGAGCAGGTGCCCCCATCAGGACACATACAAGAATCAACCGATGGATCCATAAATAAGTGGAACAGCAACATCGACGTTTCCTCTCTCCCCACCCCCTTCCTCCCTCTCTCTAAAAGCAATAAATAAAAAATGAAATAAACAGCCCTGGCTGGTGTGGCTCAGCCTGTGAACCAAAAGGTTGCCGGTTCAATTCCCAGTCAGGGCACATGCTTAGGTTGTGGGCCAGGTCCCCAGTAGGGGGCAAGCAAGAGGCAACCACACATTCATGTCCCCTCTGTCTAAAAATAAATAAATAAAATCTTTTAAAAAATTAAATAAATAGATAAATAAAAGTGGGGATAGACACACATTTATAAAGACACGTATAAATATATACATGTACAGATACCTGTTTAACATACAGGGTGGGGCAAAAGCAGGTTTGCAGCTGTTCATGTGGAACACACAATAACTAACAAATAACAGCACAAGAAAACTGTCCTGTGCACTCGGGACTGCGACCCTGCTTCTGCTGACCCTGTACACACGTCCGTAGGCACAGGAAACTGGCCGGAGCGGTTGCCTCCGGCAGAGGGGCCCAGGGGCTCTAAGAAGCAGAGGGATGCTTTCTTAGAAGCATCCTCTAAGAAACAGGATGACTGAGCGATCAAACCTAACGTCACCGAAACTGGGGCACGCTGCCATGCCACTGTAGATGGGACACACTGACAGGGACACGTCCCCTCTGACATAGTTCTGACAAAAACATTTGGGCTAAAGCTAAACACGAGGAAAAAATCAGACAAATCCACAGTGAGGAGCATTTAGCAAAACACATGGCGTGGACTCTTGATACATGCACCGAGCCCTGCAGCTCATTTGCTTGGAGCATCATCCGACACACCGAGGTGGTGGGTTCAATCCCCGGTCAGGGCCCGTATAAGAATCAACCAATGGCCCTGGTGGGTGTGGCTCAGAGGACTGAGCACCAGCCTGTGAGCTGATAAGCTGCTGGTTCGATTCCCAGTCAGAGCACGTGACTGGGTTGCAGGCCAGGTCCCGGGTTGGGGAATGTGAGCGAGGCAATCGATCTATGTTTCTCTCTCTCTCTTTCTCCCTCCTTTCCCTACTCTCTAAAAATAAATAAATAAAATGCGTAAATATTAGATTAAAAAAGTGTCAACCAATGAATGCATCCCTAAGTGGAACAGCAAACTAATGTTTCTCTCTCTTTCTCAAAAAAAAAAAAAAAATCAATAAAAAAATCTTTTAAAAAGAAAGAAAAATGTTGTCATGAAAGGCACAAGAGGCAGGACACTGTGTAGATTAAATTAGACCACAGAGACAGGACAACAAAATGCAATTTTGTTGGTTTTGATTGGACTCTGGAAAAAAAGAAAACCCACGATAATGGACATGAGTGGGAAGACTGGGAGCATCTGAAACACAGGCCACCCGCTGCGTCAGCAGGTTCCGTGTGCCCTGCCTCCGTAGGACAGTGTCCTTGTTCCGGGCAGACACTTGCCGAATTCCGAGGGGGGAAACGTCAGGATGTCTACGATGAACTCTCTCTCAAAAGGTCCGCGGAAAATAAGTCCATGATCTGGAGAGAAAACGCCAGAGCACAGAGGGGCATCTCGGGTGAAGGGTTTATGAACATTTGAGGAACTCTTCTCGCAACTCTTCCGTAGATTCGAAAAGTTTCAAAACAAGTAGTTGAAAAGTTCAAAGGAATATGGTAAAAAAAAAGTGTGTATGTAAGTTCACACTGTAAGCAAAAGTGCACCGTCTGGATTCTAGCCCGGGCTCTGGGTGCCTTAACGAGGAAGATGGACGCGTCAACACTGTCCAGCAGGAGAAAGTAAGGGAGCTTGGAAGGGGCGAATGAGATCAGTT